GAGCTGCCACAGAGAAGGCCCTGCCCCGGGTAGTAGCCAGGTGGCATTGGCTGGTGGACGGAACCCGGAGGAGGCCAACCCTGTGAGTTCTAACGGGTCTTTGGGAGGTAATTGGCAAAAGGGATTCTAATTTGGGTCTAACGGGTCTTTGGGAGGTAATTGGCAGCAGGCGGTCTCTCAAGAAACCACAGAGTCAGGTGGAGCATTCCAGGCGTTGACCACTCTGTTGCTGGAGTCATATTTTCTGCAATCGAGTTTGGAACGGTTTACCTTGAGTTTGTATCTATTGTGTGCTCCTGTGTTGTGGTGGCTGAAGCTGAAGTAGTCATTGACAGGTAGGGCATTGTAGCAGATAATTTTGTGTACTACACTTAGGTCGGATCGAAGGCGGTAAAGTTCTAAGTTGTCGAAGCCCAAAATTTTGAGCCTGATGGCAAAAGGGATTCTGTTGCGAGCAGAGGAGCGGAGGACTCTTCTCGTGAAATATCTCTGGATTCGTTCTATTGTATTAATGTCCGATATGCACTGTGTGTTCCAGACAGATGAGCTTGTATTCGAGAACTGGTCTGGCAAAGGTTTTGCATGCCGTAGTTTGCAGTTCAATATTACCGGAGAAAAAGCTTCGCAATATTACGTTAACAACTCTTAAATGCCTCTTTGGCAATGCTGTTACCGTGAGCTCTGGCATTTAGATCATTTGAGATGAGGACCCCAAGGTCCTTGACATTGTGGGAGTGATCTACGAGGTCGTATCTGCCCAGCTTCTATTTGGTGTTCTGATTTATTTTGCCAAGGTGTAAGACAGGGCATTTGTTGGTTGAGATTTGGAGTTGCCAACTGTTTGACCATTCTGGCACATGGTCAAGGTCTTTTTGTAAAGTAGCAGCAGCATCGGTGGTGTTGAGCATCATCAGCGAAGAGAATGCAGTTGCTTATAATTATGATCGCAAAGGTCATTTATGTAATTTTGGTGGCTGCTGCATATTATGAGCTCATATTTAAGTGATTGTCCAAGATTCTTCCCACAGTTATTGCTACCGAGCCAAATTTCACCTAATCTGTAGTACGTTTGGTTTTTCTTGCCTAAGTATAAAACCTTTCTTTTCTCTATTTTGAAGCGACATCGCTACCTTAGAAGCAGCTTCAGTGTGGCGCCGGGGGCATTAAAAATGAAGGTTTTGGGCTGCATTTTCACCGACCGAGCTCCCAGTGCAGCTCTGATGGAAGCAAACTCCAAAAGAGCCAGAGCAATTTATTCCCATCTTTAAATTAGGAAAGCATTAAAATATATATATATATTAGCCTATATATATATATATAGGCTATCAACTTGAGGTCTATATAGAACAGATTATTCAAAAGCTGCTGCTTGTGAGGAAGCCAGGAGAGGAAGCTAACTGTTAGTCTGGGTGACTTTATCTCCATTTTTTTTTTGATGGAGTTATAGGCTTAATAGATTGGGGGAATGCCATGAACATAGTTGTATCTGGACCTCGGCAGAGCATTTGATTAAGCGTCTCATGATAGCCTCATTAATACAATGGTAAATTAACAGCCAGATGGATTTATAATTGGCTGAATGACTCCAGCTAGACAGCAGTCATAAATCACTCTGTATCAGCTTGGAGAGCAGCATCAGTTGGAGAGGTAAGGGGCTGTATCCTGCGTCCTGTGAAGTCCAACATTTTTATCAGTAAATTGAGGGATCTAGGACAACTTGCCACAGCCAATGGCCACGGCCAACTCGCCACAGGACACTCACTGTGGGAACAACTTAACACAGGACAAAAGTGACATAGAAATGGTGGAATAGAGCCATCAAAGAAAGGAGGAAAAAGAAGGAGCAAAACCCGAAATCTGAATGACAAACATTAAAGTAATTTTAAAAAAATTATAAGGATGTGCACAGGTCTATCACATGTAACAACCCAGAAGCAAGTACAGCCATCAGTGCTTTGTATCAAACAGTGGTTTTTATCTACAATAGGAATATAGGAATACTATACATACACATACATGCTACAAGCTGTATCCAAACAAACAGCAATTACAGCAGGGAGGAAACTTGAAGGACTGACAAATCCTTCTAGGAAGGCCTCTGCAGCCAATAACAGAGCTCCTTTCCTGAAGGCCGCTGACGGCGAAACGGAGGCCAGGGGCGATGCGCGCAAGCGCCCACAGAAGTGCACGACTCCACACACCCCATCCCCACCCTAGCTTAATTTTTACCTGTGCGCCTCACCCCATCCTGTGCACCCCGGAATGGGATGGGTCTAAACTAGGACTTATTTTGGAGGTAGGCCCAATGCACACATGTAAAAAAATCAAGCTGAGGCTTACTTGTGGGGTTGGTGGTGTTTTCGGGGAAACACGGTATTTTCCAGCACTGCTTTAACCTCAGACGGTCATGAAGCGAATTGTTGTAAGTCGAGGACTTCCTGTACAGTATGTTCCCCTCCACTGAGAATTATCAGAGAGAAGCTGAATGGATAGTCACCTGTCCAAAGTGGACAGTGTACCTGGCAGGAGGCTGCAGTAGACCGTGACCCGACAAAAAGGCGAACATCAAAACCGTGCCCGACTAAACCGCGTCGCTGACGTCATCAACGCGGCGACAACAGCCAGTGCGGAGAAAGAAGAGCGCTTTACAATAGCGCGTCGAAAGAACGACGATTAAACTTAAGATAAGAATTAGATTTCGGGTTAAGTTGAAGGTTAGAAAT